CCTCAAATTGCACAGTGCATCCACGTGTGCATAGGATAAAAAAAATATCTTTTTATAGCTCAGTAATGTCTCATGTGGGATGAAACAAAAACATTTTTTTTCACTATTAGAAGTGTATATGGGTGTATGAGTCTTTTAGCTGGGAGAAAATGCCACCCATGCTGCTCCTCACCACCGCTGTGTGATTAATGGACAGGCTTTTTTTTTGCTGAGAGATGCTGATTACAAGATGTTTTGACTAAGATCTGATTAGCCAAGCCAAAGCCATATTTTATTACACACCAAACATTCCACTTACTGGTACTGTGTTCCACTGAACATACCTCATTAAGTGTTGAGTATTGGTTGGATATCCCATTCTCCATTTAAATAACTCCTACTTTTCTCTGTGGTCCAGAGTTTGTTACACTTGCAGTGACTTAATGACTTGATGACTGATGGCTTAGTGCCTGATATAACAATAAGACTATTAACTGTTAACTAGAAACCTGATTTGTTGTCCTTAGAGCTTTTTTCCACTTCGCTGTGTTTCTTGCAGGAACAGTGAAGCATTTTACCAGTGATGATTTGTCCTGAAAATGACGTTAAAGTAATTCAATTGTCCCATTTCATGAAAAAAAGCCCACTTAAAAGATGCCCCCTGTTATTGTGGGTAACCAGGCTCAGTGGCTAGGGTGGGATGATCATTGTTTTTGGGCGTCTTTCTCATGTGGTGAACTTTTCCAGCGGTGCCCCTCCTGTAATAAAGAAAGAAAAAGATCTTCATCATCCCTTTTTTCTGTCATAGTTGTTCTCTCCCCTCCCCACCCTCCCTGAGGCGTGTGATGTAGATGTTGAGCGCCTCACGTCTGCTTGCCTATGATGCTTGTTGTGGGTTGTCTGTGGGTACATTTAGAAGCGCTCCCCCGGCAGCGGTTGAGCCACAGAACAAACGTGTCTGACATTAAGCTTCTCGGCAGGCTCGCGGGGCATCAGCGCCGTCTGCTTCTAATTGGGGGAAAATTTGTGGCACATGGAGTCTGCTTGTCGGAGGCTGGTGAATTGGTTGCAACACCTCCCCATTTTCCCCCTGCTGTTGTTGTGCCACTGATGAGACAAAGCAGGCTCAAAACCTCAGTTATTTCAACACTCTCTTCTCCAACGCTATTGGATAATGTTTTATGATATGCGCTTTGTCTCCCTGTTTTAGGGTATCTAAATCTGTATGTGTTTTTCTTTAAGGAATTGGATAGAATAATATTAGCTGACACGTGGAAAATAAAATCCTTCAAAGCTTTGCACTGTTGAATATTAGGAGGTCCTGTCCATCTTCTGTATAGTCCTTGGCTTATATGTGGCCAAATCCCTTTATTTACATTAGTAAGAATGCAAGACACTCTTCCATGCTTGTACTTTTTATCCTCCACTTTTATGCAACCAGGTTTGGGGCAGCAGGCTTATAAGAGACAAGCAGGCTTTCCTGTCCGCAGAAACCTACTCCAACTCCATTGGGAGAAGCCTGAGGTGTTCCAAAGCCCGACAAGACATAGGCAAATTCTGAAAAAAATCTAATTGTTGCCCTTAGTTTCTGTTCTTCCCCCTTTTGTGTGGTTAACAGTAAGGGAACTATCATGGGTAGAAAAAGAACTGCGGACTGCTCTGCCAAATCTGAATAGCCTTTAATCTTCAGGATGTCGTTACAAGACTGAAGACAAATGGGTGATGGTTAAATTTAGTCAAAAGCATTGTGAAAAAAGAACTAAAAGAAAGGCAAGACATACCAATATACAGAATGGCTTTATAGCAACCATAATAGCAACCAAAAAATATGAAGGTGGTTACGCTTGCAAAATTAGATAGATTTCAATTGAGCCAATATTCTTCCAGTGGGTCCTTGGCCATTCTCCGGTCCTCCCTCTAGTGGAATGTACTTGGGAGACTTCCTGAAGGAGATGTCCAGGATGCATTTGGTGCCTAAATGCCTGGGCTACCTTAGATGTCCTGATACCCTTATTATGTGGAGGGTTAATGGCTTCAGTCTGAGCCCCAAACTCAATGGCTGATCTCCTCACCTTTTTTCTAACGGAGGTTGGGAGTGTTGGGAGTGCTGGTGAGAGCAGTGCGCTTGTGCTCTGAGAAGGTTCCAAGTACCCGGTTCATTCCCAACAGCCTCCAATCTGTGTTTCTGAGCAAAACCCTTAACCCCACACTGCTCCCTCTGCGCCACACAATGACAGCCCACTGCTCCCCAAGGGGATTGGTCAAATGCACAGAGTGAATTAAAGGGATTTACGTTTACATATTATAGCTGCTCATATCAGGGAATCTCGGTCATGACCCACATTTTACCGTATTACTTGAGAGTAGGAGCATAGACAGACCAGTAAACTGAAAACGTTGCCTCATAGTTCAGCTCTTTCTTATTTACAACAGACCCCTGCAGCATCTGCATTACTAGGGAAGCTGCACCAATTGGTTAGTTGACCTCACATTACCTTGTTCCCCTCACATTTGTACAAGACTGCAAGGCAGGAACTCCAACCTGTGGCTTGCAAGCCGCACTTTCCGGTCGAGGTACAGTATGTAGTAGCTGGTCTTATCCCAGCTATTTCCCATTCGGCTACAGACCTCCATAGTCCATGCTGTAGGCCTGGGGCTCTTCAGTTCAGGCCTTCAAGGACCGGTGTCGTGCACCTTTTAGCTGTTTCTGCTCAATTCATTCAAGTTCAAAAATGTGTGTGTCGCAGTGAATGCAAATATGCCCCAGCCCCTTCCACAGACACTCTGGTGCACCTCTCCAAATCTGTAGGTGACCACAGACAGTGCCGCAGACAGGAGGCCTCTGATTGGTCAATTCTACATCCGCTCTACAATATGCGTTTTTCCTGTTTGGTACCTTACCTGCTTGTTTTGTTTGTATGACCGTCATTGTGGAAAACGACTTTTAAAGTTGGACCAGCTAGAAGAGCGTGGTGCGTGAGAACACTGGGATCCTTTTTCCACCTGGATCTTTGCTCTTTTTTGCCCTCATGTCCCTCCCTTGTTGCACAAACTTGCCCCCACTTCCTCACTAACTCTGCCGTATCTAGACTTACAACTCGTTTGTGATTGTCCCTCTTGCGTTGTGGAATAGCATACAGTAGCGCAGGCCATGCTTCAGAATTGGACATAAATCAAAAATATCTGCGGCAAGCTCACTTTGACACACTGCTTTGGGAGTATAACCAGCCCTTTAGGAGTGTGATCCTCTAGAGTTGCAACAACACATTTGGGACATCTACCAGGGGCACTGTCCCCAAAAGCTACGCAATGTTAAAGATTTAGGCCCGGGTCCAACACCTTGTCTCTAGTCTCTTCTTTCACCAGGGAAGGTGTGATAGAATTATGAGTTTCTTAAAGTATTTCATCACTTTGGGCACAATGTCTTCAGCAGCTCCGTACCCCTGCTGTGCTCAAATAAAAAACAGAATGCATTTCTAATATGGTAATGTGATTGACACAAAAATTAGGCCTGTGAAGATCCCAATCTTTGTTTTTATAGCAAAATAAAGAACACAATTTTTACTTTGAGAAACAGAATTTAAAATCCAATAAATATTTGAAATTGCACTGCATTTGATAAAAATAACAAAGTTTCATACTAATATTCTAGATCGTTAGAGATGTATGGATCACAGTATTTACCTATTGCTGTTAACTCCCAATAATATTTGGTTCTTGTTTAGCTGTCTGAAAGTTCCCATTCAAAATGAAATAAGGGTAATTTTACTGTCTGTTTTGTTGCTACACAACTTAAAAGCCGAAGTGTGTAAGCTTTACCTCCACTTATGAGCTTTAATGTCTAGGATCAAGATGTCAAGATGCTGGAAAATATAAGCAGTTTCAAGTGTGGTAAAGCTGGTGGGGATTCTCTGCTTACATATATACTCACAAAATCATGTCAGGTTTTTTTCTATTCTAAAAGTTCAAAAGGACAAGCTACAAGGAAACACATCTGTCCTTAAATTATTTAAAAGTACCGTAATAGAAACCAAATTAAATGATCCAAAAACAGTTTTAAATCTCCAACAAAGCATGATAAAGACAAATTGCATAACTAGATATCTGATTTGTGACTTTTATTTTTTTCATTTAATCTTCCAATGTTTTATTATTCGGCTAAAGTAAAACTGCTAAACTTGATTAGTGTCACTTTAGCTACAATATTAAGCCATTGCCAGCTTTACTGCTGTGTTTTGTGTACTTAACACTGGCATTGACCTGAGATGCTAGAACAAACAGTGCTGGTTATTGCAGCTTTGAAACCGCCAACCCCCCTAGCCTACTCTCAACACAGTCTGATCTTTTGAAGTGTCATTAGAAGGATTTTTCCCTTGGCTTTTTGGCTGGGCGCTACCCTAACCCTGTAAAAGACTGTGGTTTCCCTGCACGCTGCTGCTGAGGCTGGTGGCTTATTGGGTGACACTCCCCAGAGCAGTGTGAGGCCTTTCATATGGTGCATATACTCCGGCTGCTCCAGTGAGCCATATATCAACCAGTGAAATTAGAAAAAAACAGGATGAAATGGATGATTTTTTTTTCTTTTACTCTTGGAAGTTCCTGACCACTTTGTGAAAGGCTTTTATTGTGTCACTCAGTGCTTAGCTGTTACTGGAGTGAAATACTCTATATACAATATGCTGCCTAAGGCTTTATAATTCCCTAGCTTTTGGCACTTGGGATACACCCTCACATTTCAAGCTGTGTGTTTGGATTATTTATCAGGATGGACGTGATTTGACCTCAGGAAGTGGTTCCAGAAACCCTTTTCTAGGTCATTAGGACCATTCACTTATTATTACAGAGTACAGGCAGTATTCAAACTTTAAAACTCAAAAGAATGTTGACTAGCTGCATTACAATGAATCTTTTATTGTTCTTCTGTTGTTAAATATGTTATTTCATGGATTTTCAGCAATTCTCATTCATCAGCATAAAAACATTTTTTGATTATTTTTTGCTGATAATTGTTCTTCCTGCAGAATTGTATGGCTTTGATGTCCTCATTGACTCCAACCTCAAACCCTGGTTGTTGGAGGTCAACCTTTCTCCCTCTTTGTCCTGGTACGTGAATCACTTCCTTTGTTGTTTTTACTTTGTACTTGAGGAGAATCTCACAATTAAGAATTTTTAATTACCTTTAAAGAAGGCGATGTTTTATAAGTCTGTAATAAATTTAACCACTCTGGCTTTTTACAGTGATGCACCCTTGGACCTGAAGATTAAGGCTAGCATGATTGCAGACATGTTTTCACTAGTGGGTGAGTGGACAAGAAAACAACTAATGAAAACATCCTCTGTTTTGTTTTATGTTTTTTCCATGAGAAATTAATGCAATAATTAATTAAACAAAAATCTTGATGGTAATTCAATGTGTCACGCATGTATATCTTACAATAGTATTTGCTTGAATATAAGAACAATAGAATAAGAGCAAGATGCTGTAGGAGGAGTTTAAAGAGAGTAAGGTTGTTAAATAATATCTCAGCCTTTAAACATCTTATTGAACTCTGAGCAATCTGTCATCTGTTCACGTAAAAGGTCAAACATGGCTAAACGTTGATCAAGACATTGCCGCCCTCAAATTATTGCACATTCTTTGCAAAAATGCATCAGATCACTTAGATTGGTTAAAGAGCTAATGTGAACTGGTAATTATCTCTATTCTTTAGGCAAAGGTTACAGGATTTAAGTCTAAACTTTAATTGGACCGTTCTATCTCATAATTATGCTTTGATCTAAACCTGCTGCTGCATTTGACAGCTGGTGTGGTGTTCTTAGGGGGACGCGCAATATTTGCATGTAGAACAAAAGATATAATTTTGTTCCTTGCTCTGTAGGTTTGCTGTGTCTCTTACATGGTTTGTAAGAAAGTTTGAAAAGCACAACATTTTCTGTTTTTTTTTTAATAAGAAATTTCTCAAGTTGGGCCTAAATTTTCTATACCGCACATCTTAGAAATTAGTGCACAAATACATTTACAGAGGTCAAGATTTGGTCCATAAAGATCCCTGTGATCAACAGATTTTGAACAATTCAAAAAATTACTGTCACTCTTGGAAGATTTGAGGAGGCATTTAAAATCTTGGAATCAACCATGTTTTCTATTTGTAAATGTGGTGTGATGGTGTAGGCTTGCCATAGGCACCCTATGCTGTCCCCTGGCAAAGAGGACATTGGCTCATTAGAGATATGAAGTATTAAATGTTGTAATATGTATGTTGGCCTGGTGGCTCTTAGCTTCTTATCCTTAATTTTCTTGTTGTTTGCACAGAGTAAGAATGTTAAAAACGATGTACTATTTGCAAATCCCTTTTATTCCACTCTATATTTATCCACTGCATTGCCACTTAGTTCCAGTGAAGTACTTTTAAGTGGTTTGTTATTATGTTACAAAATGTTAAAAAGTTAAAAAACATGAAAGGCTCTGTCGCTTAATGAACAGTTTAGACTTCCTCCCTTAACACTTAATCAAAATGTTGTAATTAATATTCTTTGGTGTGTTTTTTTTTTTTTTTCCATCACCCTATTGACATAGCTGTTGGTTGGCCATTCTTGTGGCATGCAGGTTTCAAGCTGTTCGAGACAGTCGCCTATTGTTTAATGTTTTCCAGCATTCCACAAGTTAGAGTTTGCGCAAAACGCTGGGAAAGAAAAAGAAAAGAAAAAATAAGCTCAACAGCTTTAAAGTAGGCGTTCCTGTGTTGAAAGATTAAACCACAATGTTTATTAATTAACATTAAATTACACTCAGATTACATTGTCAACACATGCCTGAGTATCTTTTATAGTCATTAAGCCTGGGCCTAAGGCACAGAGTATCTGTAACACATTCTTTCTTCATTTAGTTATTATCCATACTTTTTTGTCCCATTTAGAGTCATGGGCTTCCTCTCTTATTGCTTTTATATTATCATTAAAAAAAGAATGAAATTTCTGCATAGAACCTCAAACATGTAAATACTTATAATTTGAAGGCAGAAATTGTATATTTTTCAATAAATTCTAGCTTATTGTTTGTATTATCCTCTGTGTACACTTGTGAGTTTGTAAATATTATTAGCTCTTATGTTTATCTTTTGACCCAGGCTAATGATATTAGATGAATTGCTTGTATGTGTATGTGCACACTTGTGCATGCCCAAATTCGTGTGCTTGAGGGTGTTATGTTGGGCCATGCTGTGGCTTGAAACTTTCCCCTCTGGGTCATTAAATGAAAGAGAAGAATCATAAATTACCAGTTATCTTTGGACTGAGACGTTCCTCACAGATCTGGGGAAAATAAGCAGTGGCATGTAAAACATAGCACATCTATTATGTACCAAACAAACTAAGTCGCTGTTGGCTGATAACGCTTGGGTTGCATCCCAGTCCTGTAAATAATAATAGCATTCCATTAGGATTCCTTCTATGCCTGTGTGTAGCTGTCAACTCCATGTCACCAGTGTTTGGAATAATTGCTGTGTTTAGGCGAGAGCATGACAGAGGCCTGATGCCTGACGGCTTGAAAGGGGCAGAACAAACAGCCTGAAGCTCAAAGATGTCAATAGGCTTTATTCGGTTCATATGAGGGTGCAAGACATGACAAACAAATTTATTCAGCTGTTCACTGGGAAGCTACTTAGCTTTGCAAGGGTGTGGAAAGCAGTAAACAATAAGATTATACTCATAAATATTTTTGACATGATGGGAACACTTACAGAGACGAGATCAATGTGATGCACTGCAATATAACAAATACAACACTATAAATTATTAGCAGTGTTTTCTGTAAATAAAATAACTTCATGCCCTCTATTAGAAAGCTTTGGCGCGTTTTTTTTTTTTTTTGGTCTTATTTGACTCTCATAAGGGTGTTTGTTTTAATACAGGGCTTTGCAAAAGTAATATAACTTTTTCAGCTTTACACAGCTTGTGATAAATTGGAAGATTATTTGGTAGCTGTAAATGGAAAATAAAAAAAATGCACCTGAATAAATTAACTTAGCAAAGGATATAAGTGAAGATAATCGTAGTGGCACCTTGATTATTTATTCTTGCAACAAATATCCCTTTGTTTACCACTTTTACAGCTAAAGGTGTCCCTGGAAACACACACAGCTTGAATAACAAAGAGATTAAAACAGTCCTTGAGTAATTAAATGTGCACCAGACTGACCAATCTTTAGTTGGAGTGCTTCGCCAAGTAAAAAACAAAACAGCTTACAGTAGAAACAGGTAAAATATGCCTGCAGTCTGAACTGGCAAGATCTGTTTTATGTTGGGCATTTTCATGGACATTGACACACAGGGTAAAAACAGGATATATCCCAATGATAGCCAGAGGAGACCCAGTTTTTTTTTAAGTGCTGACCTAACTCTTAATCTCACATTTGATATACATAGATAGCTTATTGATTTATTTTTCCACTAACATAGCTTAACACAAAGTAGCATTTTAGGCTGCAGAGATTAGAAGCATATGTGGACTAGAGAACTATTAGTCATTAGTTAAAAATGTCAGTAGATTATTTTTAAGAGGTCTTTGCTTTTTCTTTAACTTAATTCTGTTACACTAATTCATGTTGATCTATCAAATACAATCCAGATACAATACACTGAAGTGACCAAATTAAAGATCACTGACTGTTAAAGTGAACTAATTGCTTTTCCTCTCAGTGCATTAAATTAGAAGTAAGAAGTAATTAGTTTCTAGTAACACAAAACACTTTTAGATGCTGCAGGTAAATATGCTGTATGCCACCTTTATGTTGGTTGTAAAGTGGAAGTTCTTACTACACTGAATATAATGGTCGCTGTTTCAACATATTAGATTGAAGCTTGAAACTTATAGCTCATTTTTAAACACGAGGCCTGACAATTTAAACCCTTCCCACTCTATATTTATACACTAAGTGAGAGTGGTAGATTGTAAGTGGTCCAGATTTTATACTCAAGGTTTTACATAGCTGAACTTCAATGAATATAAAATATATCTATATATCTTAAAGATTTTTTCTTGTTTCTCTATTTGCATTGTGTTTATCAAAACCCAAAAAGGTTTCCTGAAGTCCTTACATATACATCTGTAGTTGATCCGCTTTAAACCATCTCCATCTGTGGGATGAATAGCAAATCTGACAAAATGATGACTTAAAGTAAAAAATCTGTTTTAGTTCTAATTCAGTTTGAAATGGATTAAATTTGTTTCACAGAAAGAAAGGATGCTGTATAAATAGGAAGTGCACAGTCAACCTATCACACATGTGCTGCTGAAGTCCCACAAGGCTCAATACTAGGACCAATTCTATTCACCCTTTGTATGAAAAATTTAGTAAATGTCTGCCCAAATATAAAATGCTGCCGATGATACGGTTAGGTTTGTTCATGCAAATACTAAACAAGAAGTGACTGCCACACTCTCTTGAGCCATTGTATTTTCAATTTCCTGTTGGCTTCAAAACTCTTGTCTATATCTTCATATTAAGATGAAGGGCTTCAGTGTATCAGTGAGAATAATTTATTAGAGTAAAACTATTTTCATTATTGAAGGTGTGATATTTCTGTCTCTAAAAAATAAAGTTGTTACTCATTTGCAGTTGGCTTTACTGTTGTAAGCCACACTTACTAGTGTATATCTGAATTCCATTCTCTAATTATCTTCACCCTATGTTTTCTTTTTATTTTGTAAACATATTTTTGACTTGGTGAATTTATTTATTTTTTTAAAGTGTTTGGGACTGATTTAAATGTATGAATCGGATTCTTCCTCTTTACAGGCCTCGTGGGTCAAGACCCCCTGTTACGGCAATCGCGTCCAGATCGATTCACAGTGGACAAGCAGACAGCAGCCCAAAGAGCACAGGTAGAGGATAACAGAGCTTTGCCATCATTCACTTTTCCCTTAGAAACACTGGTTTTTTTTATCCCCATGGAGGAACAGAGGGATCAAACTGTTTATTCCTCCAGCTGCCAATGAGTTCCTCTCCCTCACCCTCACAGAAAATGTACTATAATGCAAAACAACTGGTAATGTAATTAAAGTGTTTGAGTTAAATGTGTTTGAAAGAGCTCAGAACTTTACACCTTATTATTTTATAATTTCTAATCAAATGAACAGTCGCGTTGCCGAAACGTGCAACGAAAGCTATTTTTACTTGGCTCCTCTGCTTGACCACTGCATCAAGCTGTGGTGCAGTACCGTTGGAGAAAGACTGCTAAAGCAAAAGGCTTTCTGTACCACCTGTTAAGAAGCTTGTTTAGAAAGACAGTGCTTTTTTTTTTTATAGAGGCTTGCTTGCTCATTGTCTGTATGTGCCTTCTGTAATGACAATGGGTAATACAAATGTTCTTATGCAAAATTGCTTATCTGCATCTGCAACTTTGCAGAGCTTTTTAATTTTCTCCTGAATCAGACATATTAATCTTATTTTGTCTAGGTTTTTGCTTCTTGTAACTCCCTGATGCTTGTTACTTTACTGGTAAAAGCCTACTTGCTGCTTTGCCTTGATTTAATTATGTGACTTTACAATTTTTCACTGTGGCAAACAGATCACTTCCATCGATTACTAATGCTGCATTTCCATTGTAAATTTCAATCCATTAGCAAAGTGGTCTTTATAAATTAAGAAGCTGATATGCTGCAATGCACCACTGGCCACAAAAAGTCTCAACTGTGCAGAACCTCAGATGTAAAGTGCCTTGCAAATTTATCTGATGCTTTAAACTTTCCACATTTTATCAGGCTGTAAATTCAACTTCAATGTAATTTATTGGGGTTTAATGAGATAGACCAACACGGTGCTGCACATTATTGTGGACTACGTGGTGTGTCGTTTAATGTCAATGCAAATACAGCTACTCTGTAATGATCTACAGGAAAAGTAATCGAATACAGAGTTCAGATCTAGGGATATACCAACCAGGTCAGGCATAAACCTTTAGACAGTTTAAATGCGGAGTTAGATTAAAGAACAATTATCCTAGATTTGACCATTTAATGAAGCACTGTTGAACCCATCTTGGTAAATTCAAAAGAGTATGGCACAAACCTAGTATATACAAAGTATGACTGGCCAGGCAATAAGAGTACATACATACATTTGCAGCTCTGGAACCTGGGGGTTGTTGACTGGGGACTCTTAGTTGTGCATTCTGGATTTGGAAGATTCTTGAAGTTGGTGGCAGCATCGTTTTGTGGAGAGCAGCTCTGAATGCCAACATATTAGAAAAAAGTAACTTAACTTCAGTCCTTGAGACCCACTATTCCTCAGGTTATAGAGGCATTACTGGTGCACACTTATACCACGTTTCATTCATACTCACCATTTGGAATTTCTTACCTCCCCCAAAAGCTAGAATTCAGAGTCGGAAAATCTGGGCAACACGACCATACTCGACTTCCACATTTAAAATGGATCCTACTCACATCAACATTAGTTAAACTTTCTTACTTTGACTGTTTGAAGCAGTCCTTTATTATGTAACAATAGGTCAGTTGCTCCTATACCTTTTAGTGTTTGTAACATATTTCATGCTGTTTCTAAACACAAAATTCTGCATAAAACAGTATTTTTGCTATTTTTATGTTTGTACCAATGGTTGTAGTGGTCATATGTGAACAGTGGAGAAAATGAGCATTGCACATGCTGTAAAATGGAACACTAGGACTTCATGGACTTGTCATGAGTTTCAAGGTAAAATAAATGCACCATTAAATCAAACAGCTGAATTCTCTCTTTAGCAAAACACTGAACTCTGCAGAGGTCTGGTAATAAGCCTTCCATTTGATTCAGGTGTGCTGTTGAAAGAATACATCTAAAAATTGTAGCTCTGGATATTAGAAGCTGCAAACAACTAAACATTCAACAACAGATACAACTGAGGTCTGGCTAAAGTTGGCCCTCGATGGCTGCTGTCCCACAGATTTTAGAGGTTTCCCTGCTTCCCTGATTCCTATGATTGCAGTTCAACAAGAGCCTGTTTGTCAGCTTTTAACTGAAATCAGCATTGCTGAAGCAGGGAAACATCTAAAACCTCCAGGACAGCAACCCTCAAGATCAAAGTTTTCTCATGTGGGACAAAAGCCCAGTCAAAGTTGAGGCTTGAAAATTTAATTCAAAATAAGTGGCATGATTTAGAAATTGTTGTTCACAGATGCACTACATCCAATCAGATTTACATTATTTTGCAAAGAATTGGTAAAAACCCCTCTGTAGCTCAGATAATCTGGTAGCAACACACCACAGCACACATGCAGATTAAATAGCACTTCCTGCTGATTTGATACAAGATCAAACCAAACCTTTCAGTTTTTTTTTCCATGTACATAGAAAATATTTAAAAACCTTTTTTTTTATTTCACTTTAACAATTTTTTTACCGCTATGCACAACTTCTATCGCATACAACCCCAATTAAAAAGATTATAGTCTTGCGACAAAATCTAAAAATGCTTTAGATGAGTTAATATGTAAGCAAGGCAGTCACTGGATACAAGCCTCGTCACTATTAGAACATTGGGCCTAAGGGGAACCTGTTCTTACATTTCACTCTTTAAAAGTTGTAACTTTTGCAGTGGGATTAGGGCTTGTCACTCTTTGGCTCCCTTTATAACCCTCCAGCCGCATCAGGCAAATTAAACTTAATCCCTCTGCTATTTAGATGACAAATTTCGTATGTCATCCTGTGGGGTTGTGCCCAGCGAACTGGCCCCTGTCCCAAACTGCGTGCCAAAGTTGTCAGTCAGAGAGGCCTACTGGAATGCCAATGCATTGCAAAAATGTGCTATTTCTGTAACAGGGAGAAAAGAAAAAAAGAGTCTCTAGTTGCTGGTGGCAAGTTTGCACATTTTTCATTCATAAATGGAAATGAAATGCAAATATAAATACATTATTCCTTATTCATAATTATTAACTAAAACTGTCTTCTACAAGATTTAACGTTTACATCCATTAGTACCAAACCTCGGTCAGTTTTAATAAAGAACATTAACAATGTTCCTGTTCGTATCCCTTTGCAGCAGAAGCCCATAACAACTGCTTGTTCAGAAACAAATGGATTTAACGACAAGCAAGGAACTAAAAGTATCCAAGAAGAGAGCACTCTGAACCTGACTGCTGAGGAGGTAAGGCAGGGTGTAACATGGTGTTAGTGAAGGAAAAAGACAGGAGGCCACACTGACTTGGTGTGTTGCCTTAATAAAATACGGTATCCTTTTTAATACATCATGTTTTGTTTTGTTTCTTTGAATGTAGATCAAAGTGCTGAGAAAGATTAAGGAGGAGTATGACAGAAGAGGGGGTTTCATAAGGATCTTCCCCACCCAGGACACATGGGAGCTTTATGGGTAATCAGAGCTAAGAAGGAACAGGCTGATACCTTAAAAGGCCTCAAGCTGTTTGTTAATATCCTCTGATAATATTAAAAGTGATTTAATGGATTGGCACATTTAGGACAAACCCTGCAGCAATCCTACGCAGACTGGAAAAGTTGAGAATTTGGCTAAAATATAGATTTTAACCATGGACATTTCTAAAAAGACAACTTGAACTTGAGCGGCTTTAGGTGGATTAAGAGCCGAAGTTTTAATGGTTTTTATACCTTTTCTTTTATTGTCTTCTATTTCAGTGGATATTTGGAGTCCAAGACATCTCTGAACTCCATGTTGGCAAACAGGCTTTTCCATGGAAGGTAAGCATTTCCATTGTGGTTGGAAGTGAGGAATACATCTTTCCATCAGTTTATGGAAATGCTTGGATTCTCTACTGTTTACGTCTAATTCTTCGATTGCACAGGTTTGAGGAATTGTTCAAGAGATGATGCAGCTTTTCCAGCACGTTCCTGGTGTATGCTAAGCGTTGTGCTGTTGATTTGGAAACAGGGGGAGGGGAATACAATTTAAAATGAGCTGTAGAAAACTTTTTTTCATTCAGTAAAGCAGACTCTATTTAGTTTAGACCCCCTTTCAACTTTCTTATCAACTTTCCTCCAATTTAATACATCTCTCCACTTGTAATGATTTGATGATATGCCTCTAAATAACATCTGCCTCATTTTGCCCATGCAGCTGTGTTGTCAGAAGTGTGAATAGGAACAAGCAGCTGCTGGTGGATGAAGTCAATGGCCTCCACGTTGTTCAGTATGAGAGGAAGCTGCTGTCCCTGGAAGCACAAAAAAGCTCAAGGCGCCACCTGAATCATCACTCTGCTGCAAGGAAGAAAAAACTTGGTAGATCTGATGTGTTTTGCATGTTGCTTTGTGTTTAGTTAAGTAGAACAACATAACATGCTAGAACACTTTTGGTTCCAATAAATAACTCCCCTGTGTCAGGGGAAGGTTGGCCAAAAAATGACTCTCAATGAGTTCATTTCTTTGTGGCAACAATAAAAAGCCTTTTTCTGAGCATATGCATGTTGATCCCATTCCCTGTGATGTAACTCACATTTGTCTCTTCTTGCACTAACGCACACCTCAGGGAAGGAACCAAAGGCTTTCCTGACTGAAAACAGAAGTCAGGAGGCAGAGGAGCATGCTCAGGAGGAAAGCGTGGAGATCAAACAACCCCTTGAGCCAGTCTTGCAAAAGGATTTGGTAATGGAGAAAAGAAAACAAGCGGCCGTGGTGGATCGCTACCACAACCACACCGAGTCCGTGCACACTGCCAGGCCTACAGTAAACCTGCTCCACATCCTTCAGCAGGGATGGGAACTCAGGTCAGTCTATATTCTGTGGTGATGTTACTATGTGATGCTGCTCTCATGTCATTCTCCTGTTTTAATTATTTTAACCTTAAAAAGAATTTATATAACTCCCTCCGACTAGAGAGGATGTCAAAATATTAAGTTGATCCTCACAGCCAATTGCAAGCATTCCTATGGCTGACCAACACAAAGCACATTTTTATTCATTAATCATTGTCATTTGTGCAACTCTTCTTTAGGATTTATCTCTGCCATCTCTATGCATCTAAGAACTGAAATTGTTGGCCCTAATTGCATGGTGCCTCAGTTGTTAGCTCAGTTACCCTCCAGTAAAAGTAGTCCCCCAAATAAAATCTTGCTGCAGATAGTGTTTTGTATATGGGTCAAAGAATTAATGGTATTGTCTGACCAGAGCACCTCCATCCAAAAGCTTTATGTGCCCCTAAATTGTCCTGTTTAAAGTTTTAATTTTCCTTCTACTTAATTCCTTTCCTTAGTCGTGTTGTTTTTGCAGCTGTTTCATGGGGGCAGGTTTTACAGAGTTAATTAGTTGTCCTATTGAGATATTTTCCCACCTAAGCCGTGGATCTCGGTTACTCCTCCAGAGTTCCCATGCACCACTCCCCTGCTGTCCTGAAAGCTGTGATCATCAGCTCAATCAGTTAAAAAAGCAATTTGATGTGGTTTTGTTGAAAAAAAAAAATCAGAATTGTGTCAAAGGGAAGCAACAAAAGAGAAGACTTTGCATAAACGTTATAATTCTAATGATTTCCTTTATTCTTTATCTGTGTTTTCTGTCTTCAGTAAAGTTCAGGCTCGGATTGCTTTTTCATCTTACCTTCAGCGGGTTCAGCAAAGGCTTTTAGCTGAGAGCAGAGCCAGCACTGTCTCCGCCTGGCAAGACAATGACAATGATCAAATGGTAAAATTTTATCGATACTACGACATACGAGTTAGCATTACATTTTTTGGGCTTTGTCCCGACTTTTTTGTGTTGTCCTGCTGCGTTTATCTCAATTGTTTCATCCAATAATGATAGAGATTTGAATATATTAACTAGTAGTTAGTACCCCTAGCATGAGTATTTGCTGCTAATGTATTATTTTTATTTATTCCCTTTTAGCTATGGATTATTCAACCATGTCTGTCGCTATTTAATTGGATACATTTATACTTAATACATTTTCTTACATATTGTGTCTTGCTGTTCTTTTTGTCCAGCCCAAGCATATAAAAAGCTGTGTCATGGCTCACTTGTACATTTGCAGCAATGCTTTACTTGTAAAAAAAAAAATCTTTTAAGTACATCAGATCTATTTCACAAAAAGAGTTGGTGGAAGATCCCAAAGCATTGTTTCCTAACTATGAATTTCCATTGTAATTATTTAGCCATTTGTGTAACGTAGCTGAAATGTGTATTAGACATTTGTGGCCAGAGTGAAGGAAAACGTGGACTGCAAGAGGCAGTCTGACTGGAAAGTCTTCAGTATGTGCCATCATCAGTGACCTCAAACCAATTCAGTTTAATTAGGGTTCAATTTTTTTTATTTTTTTGAAGAATTAAAGTAAAAAGGGTATTTGAAAAGAAGAACCATGAAAAATCAATGTTTCCAGATAGCATAGCTAAGATAATTGACATGTATTCTGTTTGGCTGCACAGGAGCTTGTGATACGATTCCTGAGAAGAGCAGCTAGTAACCTTCCACAACAAATGAAGGTCGTGTTGCCTAATCACCAGTTACCCCTCCGAGATCGCAGACGCATCCTGTCCCACCAGTTAGGAGAGTTTATCCACTGTTACAATAAGGTACTCTCTTCAATAACTCACTTTGATCATAGGGTCTTTTCCTGACGAGAGACTGAAACTTGAGAGATTCATACACAAATAATGGAGTCCAGCTGCTTTTTGCTTTCTTTTCTTTTTTCCAGGAAACTGAGTTTATGATGACAAAGCAGGAAAATGGCGAACAGGAGCATTGTGTTAACCAGAGTGTTTTTCAAGAGTACATTACAGCAGCAAGGTTTGTGGATTTCAAAAAGCCACTAAAAGCCTCCTGCATTCATTGCTTGGCTTTAAACCATTGTACCTATACACTATTTAGTAAAAGTACTCATACTCTTTGAACTGTTTCTAGCTTTACAAGGACAATATTTAATGTAGCCAATAATGATTTTGTTAATAAAGCAGTTCAGCATACTGAATGATTGTGAAGTTAGTATTCAGCATGTTTTTATAGTTTGAATAATGTTTTCTTTCCTATTCTGACCCATATTCTGATGCCTCATATGGAAATTCTGAGCAACTGCTTGATGGAAGAAGTTACAAATGAATAGATTCACTTCAATTAAATTCAGTTTATTATTATAGCGCCAATTCACAACCATGTCATCTCAAGACATGACAGAGACAATCCAAGCAAAACAATAGGGAGGTTTTAAAAGAGTTTCGAGCAGGGATGGGGCTTGACAACCGTTTCTCAGGCTTTAAGCATCTGAAGGAGTTTTGCTCATTTAGTGATCTAAAAATCTTGAATTTGGCCCATTCCCAATGAGTCTGGATTTTGCCAAGTTTTGTTTGTAGAGCAAAAAAGATACCTGTGATAACTTTGTAGGGACTCTATCCACAGCTCAAGCAGAAGAATTTGTTGACACGAAAGTATTAGGACATGTGCTTCAAACGTGCTTCACAAGCTATGTAAGGATTCTGCTAAAAAAAAAAACATTGCAGCAACAAAGCTGGTAAGAGTTGATAGGAAGATAGATGCAGGGAATCATTCAAATAAAACATCTCTTAAATTATCATTATTCGATATGTGTTTATTTTTATACTTGTTGTCCTATATTTATATTAATGAAAGTACACAAAAACAATGAAAACAAATGGAAAAATAATGATTTTTCCATTGACTCTGCCTTAGAGCTGCTCTGAAATCCTTTAATTAAATCATTTTTTATGCATATGATGAAACAATCCTTCTTAAAATTTCTACACATCTGTATATTTATAGTTATAAACTCCAACTATGGTCCATATGTGCTTAAAACATGAAAATATTTTAAGGTATATGAATACTATGCAAAGCCCCATGTTTGCTATTGTAACTTAGGTGACCGCAAACTTTTATATATATTTTAATGTCTTTTTTTGTTCACAGTGAAACCAATCTTGAGGAAGTGCTGACATTTTATACGCAGAAAAATAAATCGGCCAACGTCTTCTTAGGAACGAAAGTCAGAAATGTCAAGACGGATGTTCAGGATCAAGCTAGCAAGGCAAAAACCAAACGTAAGCTCCATCTTTCTGGTTTGCAGTATTTTTTTCATACTATCCTTGAACATTAAAAAGAACTGTTTGTATTTCAAAACCACTTAAACAAAAAAAAAAAGAAAAAGTGTGTGAGTTGAGGAACAGGTCAGCCTTCAAATGATTATGACTCCTTGGAGCAAAAGAATAGAGGAATGAATAAGTAATGATAACAGAGCGTGGGCTTCTTTTCCTCTTTGAACAGCTTTGCCTTTGACCAAGGAGGACTCCAGCCCTTCAGAGTCCTCGCTCTCTGCAGGAAAAGTCTGCAGTGACCCAGACATCAAGCCCACTGAGACTGGGTTGTCTGCGCTGCTCTCAGACCAACAGTCAGAGGTTACAGCCAGTAAATCTCAACCAGATGTCCAGTCGTCTCAGCACTGCTCCAGTTTTCCTCTAACTTTAGACTGCTCATACATTCATCTGCAGCATTGCCCTTCTGCTCCAACATCCATTCCTCTCCACTGCCCTCCACCGCCGCCACCTCCCCAGCCTCCGTCTTACGCACAGTCCTTGGCAAAGTCTCACTTTTGCCATTTGGAAACTCTTTCCGACCCTCCTGCATACACCTCTGCCCCCGTCATCACGCAGCCTCCACAAGGGTTTTGGACGGCCACATCCACGATTTCCAACACAGCTTCTGCTGGGCCACCAAGCCAGGCTCTCAGAAGGATTCAGTCTTTTACTACTTCCACATCCGACTCCAGAGCTACCTTTGGAATACCAAGTTTGACACATATCTATAGCCAGAAGCTTTCTAGACCTACCTCAGCAGGCCAAGGTAATCTAACTGTTGTAAATGTGGTTTTCACATTGAAATGAATGTGATGTCTTCACCCTTTTTTTTACTCCTGTTTCTTTTAGAAATCCAGAAAAGCGGCTCCAGTAAGCTCAAGTCTAACTCACCGGGGACCATTAGGGAGTTACAATCTTTGTCCTCCCAGGCCCAGTCGAACCAGCAAGCATTCATTTCAGCCCTGCAGAAACTGGCGGACAAGCAGGTTGCTCGCCACTACGCCAGCTCCAGCCACATCAACCTGCTGACCCAACATGTAGGTTTGTTTGTGTAATTACTTTAAGGTATTATGTCTTTCTCAGGTTTATCTCTTGTCCAAAAGCTCCCCAACCTCTTGGAGCCTCATTTCTGTAGTAGTTAAAATATCACTCTTCGATTGGGGCCTCTCTTTCTACAACATGATTTAGATTCTTTTTTTCAACATATTCCATATATTGGAAGACATTAAACAACATTTTAATGAAACTTTTAAGCCAGTGAGACAGTTATTGTTGAACTTTTCTTGTCATTAATTAGCATTTTTCTTTTCCATTGTCGCCACATGTCCGTTGATGCAAAGTCAGTCAGTAGATGTTTAAATATTTTCTTTAATTGGTAACAAAAAATAAATGACTGTCTTGTTTTATAACTAATATCCAATCAAAATATACAATGGATTACCACTTTATGAATAAAAATGTAAGACTTGTCAGGTATTGTTATTTATATGGATATGTTTACAATCCTTTCATACTGTAGCTGTAGCTGCTCTGCTAATTCTAGAGTTAGGCATAAGGATTAAAGTATGAAATTGGATTCACTCCGTCAGATGAGGTGAGTCAAAGACTGTTTATATTAAGCAGCTGTTAGCTGACCCATGTAGGGTTTTATTCAAGAAAGAAAAATCTGTGTAATGTTTCATGTGAAGGGGAATCGGCAGTCTCTCTGTGAGGTCTTTGATATTTTCCTTTGTTGATGCGTAAATCTGGCTCAGACCCCATGCTGATGGGCGGCGTGTAGCTGCTCATGCTTTCAGCAGACCTGTTGGAGCCGTGGAGGTCTGCTGCCTCTTTCAGCACACCTTCCTCCTTCAGCCCTTCAGTTCGCCTTCAGTCTGTGGGCTCGGGCTGCTGTGGGGGTGGGTCTGGAACGACCCGCTGGCCTAAACAGCGGTGAGCCGCATCAAACCATGGCTCCGTGTGAGGTCTCATTATCAGATGCACCATGGGGGAGTGATTTCTGTTGATACTTAACAGGCAGCCACTTTTTTGTGGTAATTGATGCTTATAAATAGAGGAATGTGGCAAATTGGCACTGAGCAGGGGAGTGGCAGCTTGGCTGGCTCCATCACCACCTTCTCCCATATTCCCCAATGGTTTGGCCCTTGGCTTTGGGAGACCCTAAACCTTTCCTACCTCATTTGCCTCAGTTTTTTTTTTTTTTTTTTTTTTTTACAGTGAAGAGTTTTTTGTGATGGCACCAGACCACACAGAGTGCAGTTTTTATGGCTTCCTTTCTGACTGTACATTTTTCAGTCTATCTGAAACTTATTCGCTGTGTTTCCCAAGAGCAGTTAATCCAGGCCATGGCAGAAGCTCAGTCAAATAGTCCAGTGTTTGGCACTTAAAGGCCCAGAGAACATTTAGAGTTTTCTAAGGCTCCGATTTGAAGTCATTAAATCACTTTCTGGGCTAAATGGAGAACTTTGTAAACATGAACAACACTCGGTTGCACGGTTGACCTCAGGGTTTAAGTAATTACTCACTCTCAAGCGGGGCCATATAAACAGAAAGAGACTGACAGTGAGTAAAACCAGGCATGGCCACCATCTCCATCATGCTGCTGTGCAGTGATGTGACAATATGATTGTGGATCTTTTTACTGTGTGTGTCTGTTTATGTCCACTGTTGTAGGTTTGACTTGTTTTAAATAAATAGACAGTCCTGTGAACATGACATAAGAGGATGGTGCATCATAGAGATAGAGAGGCCCTTTGAAAACATTTATTATTAGTGTAAATACATATGTTCTTTTTCTCAAATGAAAATAAGCATTAACCACAAACAAATGTATTATATTTCATCCATTTAGATACAGTAGGAATATCACTTGTCTAACTTTATATGTAAACTAGAGCTATGGCTGTAAAACAACATACTGACATATTTTTCTTTTATGTCATGCAAGGCCTGGCAACTTGACAGTTTCCCCATTGGAAATTTAGCACACAGGAGAAAGTAAAATAAATAAAATACCACAACGGTGTGATTCATCCTCCCGTAACATTTCACTGAGACTAGAGCGGCAGTGAAGTGCCTTCCCAAAAGTGCTGATTAGGTTATAAACATATTAAGGGTGGAGAAGGGGGAGATAAAGGCTGGATTCAGTGTTAAACAGAGACTAGCTGTGCCATGTGCTGTGTATACATTTCACATAGATACAAGAGATAGAAGCAAGAGGGAGGATCTCATCTACATCTTAAAGCATGAGGTTCACTTAAATATTGGCTTACACTAAAATTGGCCAGAGAGGCAAAATACTATAAGATTGAGATGAAATAACTTCTGAAGTATTTTTGTCTGTCCACAGTTGACCAACATGAACCTGACCCACAGAATAATGGGCAGAGAGAGTTACAAACTGAACCCTAAAACTGCTGCTACCCAGCCTGTTAGAGCTGTTCATGCTGGAAAAGACCATCCAACGAGTGCAAGGTAAGTTCAAGCTCAGTGTGAAGGTTATCAAAGGGAAAGCAAACATGTTTAGACTAAAACAAAAAAAAAATTGAGTCCGAGGAGTTTATTTTCTTCTTAATTAAACTCTGTTTATCCCATTAAAACCAGTTTCAACACTGGTTATCAAGGAAAGTGATTTTCCTCACTTTTATTTTGTTAGTAGTAGTAGTTTTTCAATGAGGATCTATCATTAGACTGATTTATTTTTTAAATATTTTAAATACGTACTCTTCAATCTGTATGTTTTAACTATAATATTTAAGTTTGTAATTGTTTATTACCGAACCAGTTATTTTCCTTTTTATATCAAGCAGCATATCTGTCAGTCATAAAGAATCAACTCAGCTCATTTAGGAATCTTTTAGGAATGAAAACTACTCATTAAAGATCAAACTAGCCATCTGCCTGGGGAACAAAGAGGACTACTATGGTTGTTGGTGCAAAGCAGTCTGGTCTGAGTTTTTCCAGAAACTTCGGCTTTACTTGACTTTTTAGACAAAACCATCTCTCAGGTCTGAAAATGAGAACATATCCACTGATCTGCAGTTTTGTGTATATGGAATTGTCAAGGGTTAGTGCAGAACAGTCAAACTGGGTTGAGATGTTTGAAAGCTAACAGTAGCTCAAATAAACCTTTGCTAAAACTGAAATATTTGAAATAACATGTCTGAATGCACAGTGTGTCAAACATTTGGGGCTATTGGCCACAGAAACAAAAGTATTTCAACCTTGGAAGAACAAGAAACTGAGGCTGAGGGCAAAAACATGATTAGTAATCAACGAGTAGGAGGATTGTTACCTTGACAAAGGAAATTTGGTTTAAGCTTTGGTCCTCAGGTTTGGTATCAGATAATAGCAAAGTCAAAATTTGGCATATAAAGCATGAAAGAACGGGTCCGGGGACTGAGGGCAGCTCTGCTGGAGTCCCAACGTGCACAGGGTAACAGTTTGATTTAATGCTGACAATATGAACCAGATGCCTGCTACCCATTGGTAGAGAGACCGGTAGCACCTAATAAAGGGCCCCCACCTCTGATTGCTGCCTAATCGCCTTTACACCAGTCCCCAGTGGTCCAACCCGAGGCCTTGTTCCAGGGTGAGGTCCCAGCTCTGCCGTACTGGCCCATGTCGCTAGCCTCCATTTTCTTGGTTGGGTTTGAACCTATCTTTGACTGTCAACATTGCCTTTTTGCCTAGGGAGACCCTACCAAGGGCATCACTAAGACCCATCCACAGCATAAAGGTGGCAGTTAGAGGAGGGGTTCTGTTCATAACATTCCTGGACAGAATTTCTAGCTGCAGCGAAGGGCCAGAGGAGATCTGGTTTGGAGATGAGCAGATATTGCCTTTGTTCTTGTGGATGATGTGGTCCTGCTGGCTTCCTCCAGCTAAGATCTACAAAATGCACTGGGATGGTTCAAAGCCTGGTGCGAAGTGGTCAGGATGATCAGCTCCTCCAAATCAATGGTTCTGAAGCCATAAAAGGGTGGAATGCCCTCTTCAGGTCAGACTGGAGTTCCTGCCAGAAGTGAATGGGTTCAAGTATACTGCGGTTCTATTTACGAGTGAGGCGAGATCAGAACGTGAGATCAACAGACGGCTTACTGCTCACATAGTTGTGAATGAACTAACAAACTCTAAAGTCCTGCTTTCCCCTTACTTATCTCTAAGTTTTTTTCTCTGATAAACTGTTTATTATCTTTGCGATAAGCCTGTTTCCTTTAATGGCTGATATTTAATTAAAAAGCACTTCAAAGTCATCTGTCATGTTTTATATTTAGCTAGCTCTATCTGTACAGCCTTATGAAAACCTTTTGGTCCAGTTTTACTCTTTTGCTTATTTGTGCTGCGTGTTTATTTGCTGTCCTCTGAGACATCACACAGCTACTAACCCCTTAAGAGGTCAGATGGAATCACCACAAAGATAAACAACATGTCCTCTTCCAGATAGAAATATTACATACATTTAGGGCAGGCCAAAAGGATTTTTTGTCGTTTGGATTTTGTGGGGACTGGGGAGACTTTAAGGGTTTAAATTGTGTTTATGGAAACTTCTTTGTTTAAATTATTGTGATGTACACAATGCTGTTCAATTATGCAATTGTATTCACTAGATAAAGGTTTAACATTATGTTTCAAAATTTAATGGTAGCGGTCTACTTGGTTGCACTCAGTAGAATTTGAAGGCCTGTTTATTGGTGTTTTACAGAATTTTTGATAAAAAATTATGAGCAAAACCTTCTGGGAAATTGTGTTTTGTTTTCTTTTTAAGGGGGTATGCTGGTAAAGATTTTCAGTCATTCAGGTCATAGTCATTGCAAAAAAGTAAAAAAAAGTAAAAAAAAAAAAAAAAGATTTTTTGGACTTTGTTTTCCAAGTTTGAAGACGTTTCACTTCTGATCCAGGAAGCGTTTTCAATTCAAAATGTCTGGCATGTTTTCTAAGACAAGACAAGGCTTTATTGGGCTACTCAATAAAGCTTGGAATTCAATTTTAATTTCATTTTGAATTAAAAAAAGCTTTCTGGATGGGAAGTGAAATGTCTTCAAACTTGGAAAACAAAGTCCAGTGGCTTGTTTTTAATTTTTTTTTTTTTTTTTTACTTTTTAACCTTTTTAAGGAGGCTTTATGCAACTAAAGTAGTTTCAGCTGCAGAATCCGTTTAAGCAACCAAGGTCGTTTCAAATAAGACAATGCAAACAGAAAAAAAAGATTTTCTCTATGGACCCTAACCTTAAGTTGTAGCTTTTAGTGAAAAGATCCCAAACAATTTTTTTTTATTTTTCTGCACTACAAGGATAGGAACGCTTTCATCAAAGCCCAAATAATAAGCTTAATATATTTGTGTTTTATGTTTCTAGATAGAGATTACAGCGATCATAATTGCAGAACTGTTCCTCTTTTATAGATTTTATAGGTATAGCGAAGGATTTTTTTCACCAATTTTTGAAAAGACCAGCCCTCTCCAATTTAAAAAAAAGCACATGCACAACCCTGTACCCGCTCCCGAGAGGGAAGCTTATACAAGGTTACTTTCCTTGTGCCAAAATTTACAATTTTTCCACTATGTCAGACTTACCACTGATAAGTGAAAATGGGGACAGGGACGTAGGACGGCTTTACGTAAATGTATCACCAGAATTGTTGACAATTAGGAGGACCAATTATTTTGATGATCCACCTGGAAGAAAAACATCCTCCACTATATCGTTAACTTTAACTGTATCAGACATGTTGGAACAGCTGATGCATGCGTGTGGTTAACATTTCCATGAGATATATCTGTAAGGCTTTAATCATTAAATACCTGTTAAATGTGGCAGACTTTTGAGTAAAACAGACTTAAGTTTTGGTTCTGAGCCTAACTACTTGTGTCAAAATGTACTATGAACAGATGTTTGTAATTGAAAGTCCCAATTGGTTCAGTTTATTTATAATCAATTTTACACAGTTTGGAGTCGTAATCTGTGACCTTTTAAGCTCCAATATCTTGCAAGATGAATTTATAACCTTATAACGCTATTTCCTCATTAAAACTATACCCAAAGTGGTGTTTGGCTTGATTCAAGCATAAGTAACCCTCATGAATTCTGTTCTTTGAGCAAGCAGTCCCTCCCTGTCCTGGAAAAACAAGTGGCCATCACCTTCCTATGTAAGATAACCTTACTGCATCCTACCCCTTCCAGGAAGCACCTACTTTGACCTCGCTCCACCTGCTTTAGTAAACAAATGCCCACTCTCTTTAAAAAAAGAGCGGTGATGTGAAGCCGAGTATTCAGATTCAAGCTTGAGATGAAATTGCTCTTTTAGCAGCTAATGTCTACATTAACAGTTCTGTAGTATTTTCTAACTCATGTCTAAGTAGAAAAAATGAATTATTTGGCCATGAGAGGGCTCATTCTTTTTAAGGCAGAGCCTAATTGCCAGAAGTGGTGTGATATAGTAGTGTCATTAAAATGGGTGCAACCCGCACAACAGAGGTGGCTTCGTATTAAGAGGGGAGGTGCCCTTCTTCTGGTTTGATAATAAATAAATACTTGGTATGCCTATAGTTGACTTTAAAAGGCTTAAAAAAGAATGATAGGGATGGACGATTTCAAAATTTTGACCAATATCTTATATACTGAAATATTTCAACTGGCTGATAAAATAATACAGATTGCCTATACCTTGTTACAGACACTATGTAGTATTCTCCTTCCTTTCCTGTTCAGTTATTACAAATACTACTTCTGGTATCTGTTTCTGAAAATTAAACCTATCAACACTACCAACATTTTTACTCCAGAATCTCTTATGTAGCAGATTCATGCATCAGTTGGGTACATGTAATCTTGTGTTGCAGGCATAATCTTCACTTATTTGTCACAAAAATATTGCCTTATATATCAGTGAAATATAGTGCTGGGATGACCAGTGTCTTAAGTTTAGTTTTAAAGCTAATATTATACCAATAACATGCTGAATATATTGTCCATTCCCAATATAGGACCTATGAGCTATAACTGCTAAATCATTCTGTTTTGATTTGGAAGACGGGCATAAAGGATCCCCTTTAGAGCCCTCATTATGGAAACATACACAAAGTGTCTGAGTAAATAAAAACATGTTAAGTTCAAGAACATAAAACTTAAGGGTCCCTACTTGAAATGCTTCAGAACAATCGACTTTTTACTAGCAATAAAATGTGTTTTACCTCTCAGTAAAAAATTTTCTTTTCTCACTTGTCATGCTATAGTTAGGAGGAAAAACTAGTCGCACCGTCATGATACACAGTAATAGACCACTGTTACATATGATGAAGGCTAGATACAAAGGCAAGTAAAGATTGGCAGCTTCCTCTTTTATTTTTTTGCTGCTCTTAATTTGTAAATGGTTTCTGCCTCAGACAGCTTGGCCCTGATCTCTGACTTTAGTTTTCCAGTCCAACCCTTAAATATATCGAGCTGTCAGAGTATTCCAGGAATGTCTAATCATTT